GTGGTATGATTCTTTTAATTCTTTGGGGAAGATACCCAGCAGGGGAATAGCTGGGTCAAATGGGACCTCTAGCCCTAGTTCTTTGAGGTATCTCCACACTGATTTCCACAGTGGTTGCCCCAGTCTGCACTCCCACCAACAATGGAGAAGGGTTCCTTTCTCCCCACAGCCCCGCCAGCATTTGTTATTGTTTGATTTCTTGATAGCAGCCATTCTTTATGGTGGAATCTCAGTGTTGTTTTCATCTGCATCTCTTGAATAACCAGTGGCCAGTCCCTGGTTTAGTGGTTTACAGTCTACCTGGGCTATGAGGTATGAACCACTTCTGTCTTGCTCATTGCTTAATGAATGAGTGAGTTTGCCAGAGAGGGAACACTTTATACTACAGAACAACAAACTCACCTTGTAGAACTTGCTATAGAGGGCCAGACCCTCAGATTCTGTACAGTTCTGGCCATATCTGGAGTTTTCTTTACACCTGGCTCTCAGAGCTCTGGCTTTAGGAAAAACTTGGCATGGTGAGAGAAGACAGTGTGAGAGGCCCTGCTGGGGACCTTTGAAATTTGTGATAAATTTGTCATACCATGGGGCGGGGATTTAGTTTAGTGGCGCTGGACTTGCCTGGCAGGTGCAAGGTCCTGAGTTCAATCCCTGGAACCAAAAAAAAAAAAAATTTTTTTTTTCTCATACCAGAGCATGATTTTCTCTAATGTTCAGACTTCCCATCTCTGAGGGGTGGTTCTGGAGATCAGGGCCAGGACAAGAGTCCCTCCAAGCTGCCCTGTCTTTCCCTGGTCACCCCACTGCTTCCTGTGAAGGCTTCTGGATACAAAGTTGCTGGGCCTGTTGGTGGAGCTCCACAGCATGAACAGCACATTGCTGGCCCCAAACCCAGTGTATTCAGGGACTGCCCGATGTGATGCCCCTGCTTCAGCAGATCTGCAGCTGAGGCCGGGCTGACCTCCTGCCCCAGCCTTCCTGGGTCACACTGGCCTGGAAAGGGGAAATCATTGGGACAAGAGATTGGGAAGGAGGAAGGGAGCTCAGTGATGACAATGAATGACAGAAGCAATAACTGCCTCTTCATGCAGTCGTGGGGGTGGCCATGGGTACAAAGTTGTTATCTGGAAGCACAGAATACAGAGGAGGAAGCCTCAGGGAAGAGAGGTAACCCTCCTTCCTGGAACGGCGAGCCCCCACTTTCTGAGGCCACAGATTTAGCCTCTTCGCCGTCCTTTCTCAGGCTTGGGAGGCCATGGGATGGGAAAAAAGGATGGGGAGCGAGTCCCATGCAGACCTTGGCTCTCAAGAGCAAGGGGCTAGGTGCTTTAGTCCAGAGGAAAACAAGGATTTGAGGAGGAAGCTGCAGCCAGACACACTCCTTTCTCCTCCCTTTGTCCAGAGCCACAGCCTGGGGAAGGTGACAGTGGGGCCAGTGGCAGACGTAGGAGCCTCAGACCACTGCCTCATAGCTGACTCAGTGCCAGCTTCAGCTTTGAGGAGAGTGTGGTCCTGTGCCCTACTCTGTTCCTGAGACCTGAAGGTCACCCAGCAAGGTGGGTCTGGAGAGGGGCCTAGTGTTTGGCGTGGGGCACCTGACTCAGGTTCGAGCTGCTGTGGGCACAGCTCGGGTCGACCTCAGCCCACAGTGGTGCTGAAGCCACAGTGGACTCTATTGGGCGGGGACTGAGTAAGGCTCTGACGGCCAGGGTGACGGGCAGGGGCATCTTCTCCAGCACGGCACCTCTTCCCCAGTTCTGTTCACCAGGCCTGTAAATGCCGTGGTGGCCTGGGGGCGGGGTCAGGGGGCAACCAAAGGAGGAGGTTGTATCTGGAAGCCTCCACTCATTTGCTCTGTGGTGGTAACTTGCTTGGGTCCCACCTGATCCCACATTCCATGTAGCTGCCCACTGTATGTCCAAGTCCTTCCCAACCTGGGAAGGCCTCCGGGGGGCCTCCTCGCTGCCTGGGTGCCAGTGATGAACTAGCTCTCTTCCCAGCATCAGCTGGTGAGTGAGCTCTGCAGGAAGTGAGCAGCTGTGATCACTGATTCCCCAGTCAGGTCAGGATTTCCTAGGGTCAGTGGCTGTGTAATCATCTCCCTGATGCTCGCTATCTGAGTGTCGTGTCCGGAACTTGGCCTGCTGTGTCTGGAAGACAGCCTTAGCTGGGAGCCACTCTGCCAACAGAAGGGGCCTGGGCACTGAGGCTGCCACTGCCATCTGCACCCACTACCACCTGCACCCACTACCACAGTGGGGAGCACCTCAGTAGGGCTGAGCTGCCAGGCCCCTGCCTGGGTGGCATGGAGGTGATAGCCCAGCAGGCCCAGGGCAGTCGTGTACAGCATGAGACTCCTGGAGTGGCTGCTCAGACCATGTTGACAGCAAGCTTCTCTCCCTCCGTCTGTGCTGGGAATACATCTTGGCAGGGCTCTGGCCCAGTGTGTTCCCCATTTCAGTCTAGAGGACAAGGAGGGGCCGAGGTTAACCAGCTCAGACCATCCTGCAGCCCTTTCCCCGGGGACACCCCATCCTCTCGAGGGGGACAGCAATCTCAAGTGATACAGGGGGATGGATAGGTCTCCATCACCTTAAGTAGTATCTAGAAACTGAGAAAGGGCAAGACTACCAGTAACTCCAAAGGACAGAATCCTTATTCCTACTGATGTTGAAGGAACAAGAAGAGGAAGATAAACTCTTGTGTGGGAAACAGAGGAAAAAATAGAAGGTAAGAAGAAAACTGAAGAGCCTGAAACTGTGGCAGTCAGGGTATTTAGTTTCAAGAAGAAAGTGGGCCTTATAAGGAGAAGTCAGATCAAAAGAACGGTTACTGAAGCTTTCCTTCTCCTACAATCCAACTTCTTTCTTTCAGCTCCACTTGTCCAAACACCTTAGCTTCCGTTTCGTGGAGAAGCATGAAGGCCTAAGGCATGTGCTGTCCCAAGCGTGCCTGCCCCCGCCCTCCTTCCTCTGCAAACTGACCACTGCCATACCCACCTGCCTTTCCTCTCCCTCCCCTCCCAGGCCGCTAGGCAGCAGCTCTTGCCCTGGTGCCGTGGATACCAAAGGTGTCAGTACTTTCTTATGCTTTTCCCCTTCTTTGCAGTTTCTGCTCCCACTACACCACCAGCCTTTATGATTACCAATTGAAATCTTAGTGGAAATGAATGATGCAGCATTGAATACTGAAGGCAGGAGAGGAGAGGAAGTATGAGAACGATTGTACTCAGAGGTCACAGATAGGCCCAACAGGGCACGGACGTGGACTGGACCTGGGTGTTGTGTCAGAGCACTTTGATTTTGGAGCCTGTGACGACCTCCTCTAGCCTGTACAGCATGCCAGTGAGAGTGCTGAAAAGCGAAAGAAAGCCAGTTCTTCCCTTAAGAAGAGTGCAGAAACATGAGATTTTTTTGTTCATTTCAGCAAAAGTATTTCTTTAATGTTTGCTATGGAAGTAAAAACACGTGTACTTGGGTTTTTATCTGCCTGTTGTGTCTAACTGAGCTTTACTTTCCCCTCAGTACCCTCTGCTGTACGGCCTGGTGCTCATTCCCTGCTGGAGCTCTCTGGTGTGCCTGAGCAGGATATATATGGGCATGCACTCCCTGCTGGTAAGGAAACGCCACGTCCTTTATGCGATATGTTTTTACAAAGTTTTATAATTTTAATCATTTGCAAGCTTACATGAAACCTAAATGAGAAAATATAGCTGTTATAAGTCTTCTACCTTGATTTTGCAAAAACACCAATACAGTGGCTCACGAAGTAGCAAGGTCGTCATCATGTGTAGCATAGACACCTTTTCTGGCCACCACAGTGGCCAAATACTGTGCCCAGCAGAACATGTATTCCTGCTTCCAGTTTCACTTTTATTTTTCTTTAGAATCTCTTCTGTGCCTCTATCACTGAACCCAAACCAACAACTGTACAGAAACCCAGGAGAGCTCTAAGTATTAGCCAAGACTTAGTGACTGGAAACTACATGAAGGGAAACTGCCCTGGTCCCATTTGGGTTTACATAATGAAACTCCATTCCCCGACCCCATCCCCTTGGTACTTTTTAGGACTCAGATGTTTTGAGAATGCAGCTCAGTTTCAAAAGCAGCAGCACAGGGACCTTGCTCTGCTGGTAGCCCCTTCTCCCTTCCCATCCTTCTCACCCCGTTAATGCCCCTTTGTGGCCTGAGTTGTGTTCTGACAAGATTAGCTCACTCATTTGTTTGCAGGTGTGGGGGTTGAACCCAGAACCTTTACACTGAGCTGCACCCACAGCCCTTTTTATCTTTTGTTTTGAGACACAGTCTGGCTGAATTACCCAGGCGGGGCTCAGGTCTGTCCTCCTGTCTCAGACCTCTGTAGTCTGTGGTTCAGAGCCTGCTTCTAATTCGCCTCTGATCCACTTGGTATTCTAGACTTTCCCAAGCACAGATATGTTGGCATACTGAACTTCTTATATGTCTACAGTGAACGCGTATTTAATTTGTATCTTTTGGCCAGGGATTTAGCTCAGTGGTGCCACTGACTGCCTCGAAAGTGCAAGGTCCCGAGTTCAATACCCGGTACCAAAAAAAAATTTGTATTTTTAAGCTGGGCAGGATTGTGATGCACACCTGTGATCCCAGTGTTCCGAGAGGGTGAGGCAAAGAGGGTCTTAAATTCAAGCCCAATCTGGGCAACTTAGTGAGACCCTGTCTCCAGAATAAAAAATGAAAACGGGCTGAGGATGTAGCTCAGTGCAAAGGCCCTGGGTTCAATTGTTAGTATCACAAATAAAAAAGTTTTTAATTAATTAAAGAAGATTAAAAATTCAAAACATTTTTAATAATGTTTTGTAGTCAAGAGGGTATATTACAATGATTTTGTTGTCAGAAATCCTGTTGGTATCATTGGTACACTGAAATTAGAACCGGAACACTGAAATGTGTATAGTTAAATGAAAATCCACAGGAGACTGTTGACCTGAATTCCAGTCTTAGCAAATCACTAGCCGCTCTAGGTCTGTTTCAAGATCAGGAGAAATGAAAAGGAGATAAGTTTAGATTTAATACATAGTGCCTAATTTTTTTTTTTTGGTACCGGAGATCGAACTCGGGTCCTTGTGCTTGCAAGGCAAACGGCAGAACCACTGAGCTAAATCCCTGGCCCACATAGTGCCTGTTGAAATTCTGCCGTTTGATATCATCTGTAAATTTGTTGATAATCCTAAATATTCCATTCAAATGTACAATTAGTAACAACTTTTAGGGTTTAAGACTTAATAAATATCTACTGGGTGGCATCACACACCTGCAATCCAAGCTACTTCAGAGGCGGAGGCAGGAGGATCACAAGTACAAGGCCAGCCTGGGAGCCTGGGCAACAGTGAGATCCTGTGTCAAAATAACAATAATAGTAAGTATCTTCTCAGACTAGCACTCTGGAGACTGCGGCAGGAGGATTGTGAGTTTCAGACCAGCCACAGCTATATTGTAAGTTCAACTAGTCTTAAGCTATATAGCGAAACATTATCTCAAACAAAATAAAAACAAAACCACCTGCCTGTTTAAGGAAACCATACATTTTTGTCAACTTTGGACAATTCTGAGATGGGAAATTAGATGCTTTTAATATGTCCTGGAGGGCTCAGAGGTAGAGTACTTGCCTAGCATGCACAAGGCCTTGGGTTTAATTCCTGGCACTGCCCCCTCTCCCCCAAAAAGCAACTCTCGCAGATAACAAGAAGAAAATGGGACTTTTCAGGCAAGTCGTCAGACTTGATGTGATTACTAACCACTTACCAGTCCAGTTATTTAAATACAGGATGACTAAATACTGCATTTTTTTGTTAATTTTTATAAGATAACAGGAAATATAAAAATGACAATTTTATCAAACTTATTCAGTGCAAGAATTGACTGGTTGAAATGACACCTGTTCCAGTGACACTCCAGATAGTATGTATATGTTGGACTTTTTTTTTCTTTTTTTCTTTTTTTGGTACTGGAGATCGAACTCAGATCCTTGTGCTTGCAAGGCAGGTGGCAGAACCACTGAGCTAAATCCCCGACCAGATAGTATGTAAATGAATGCACTGCCTGAGCGATGCTTGGGGTATTGTTGAGTGGTTAAGTGTGACACTAATTGTAAAGTATTGGAACAATGTTTTTAGCACAAAAACTATTACTTGGAGTTTTTTGAGACAAGATCTCACTATGCAGTTCAGGATGGCCTTGAACTCACTATGTAGACCAGTCTGGCCTAGAACTTGCAGAGGTCCTCCTGTCTCAGCCTCCTGAGTGCTGGGATTAAAAGCATGCACATCACATCAGGCTAGAAAATATTATTGTTGAAAATGCTTTTAGGCCTGGTTCAAGATATTGTGCAGCATCTGTTTTTCTTAGAGAGTTCTTGTCAAGATGCAGTTAATATAGTCAGTGGGGTCTAAAGAATCAGTCTAATTGTCTTGATTTAACTAACCAAACATTTATTCTCTGCCAGCACTGAGGGTATGCATATAATTAAGATGAGGTTTTTGCTTTTGAGTAGTCACTGTCTGAATATGTAGTATCACTGTGTAATGTGGTAATTTTGACCTGGGAATGCATACTAGATTAATTGAGATTTTAAACAATCTTGACACACCCCCTTACACACACACAATTTATATTGTTAGATAAGACTCTCTGAAGAGTGTCCCAGGCATCAGTGTTTTTATAATGGTCTCCCAAGCAAATTGAACCCGCAACAGGGTTGTGAGCCGCTTTTCTGGGAGAAGTAGATATGCAAGGAATGGAAAGCTGCTGGGGTAGGTGTGTGGAGTGTGCTATTGGTCTGGAGAGGAAAAAGTTCCTTTACTGTGTGCCGAGTCTTGGACCTAGAGCCTCTTGCATGCTGCACAAGTTCTCTTCCACTGAGCTGTGCTCACACCCCAAGAAGGTTCCTTACATTGGGGTAAAAGGCCAAAGCTTAGGGAGGAGGTAGATGCCTGAGCAGAATCTCATAGAATATAAAACAGTTTGCCCAAAATATAGGCAGGACAGCTAGTTCCAAGACAAGAGGAAATAGTGTGAACTCACTGTCAGGTCTGGTATTACATGAGGCTCTGTGGCCAGCAGAAGCCAGAAGTGAAATGCTTATGCTGAAGAAGTTTGAACACATGAATGGTATTCATTGCTGTAGTTGATAACTTCTTAAACACGCTGTTAACTAATTATATAATATTTTCCTCTGTCTGTTATGAGAAGAGACTATATAAAAAGAACACCATCAAAATTTTAAATAACTGGGCTGGGGATTTGGCTCAGTGGCACCTTGCCTGCCTCCCAAGTGCTAGGTCCTGAGTTTGATCCCTGGTACTGGAAAAAAAAAGAAAAAAAATTTTGAATAACTTTTTTTCATATTGTGGAATAGGCAGATACTCACAAAACATTTTATATAGAAATGAATTTTGTAAATACTCTTTATTTTTGGGGGCTGAGGGTTGAATCCATTTCTTATGTTTATAATACAATATGATGAAGAGCAGAGTGAAGACATTTATTTACCAGTAATTTGGTAGATTCTTTTTTTTTTTTTGGTAGATTCTTTCAAAATAGTTAAAGCAATTTCCTTTGAAAAGTTGGCTTATTTATTCATTCAGTCAACAAATATTTTAGTAATCTGTCAGGGAAAGTGGTTAAACAGAACAGGAATCTATTTTCCTCAACATTTTGTAGATGACTGTTCAGTTTCAGTTCATCTCCATCTTCTCTGTTATCCCACAGGGCTCTGACTTGGAGTTGAGTATAATTTAGAACAGTGGTTTCAAGCACTATTGACTTTGCTTATCCATGGCAGAGTTTTTATTGAATTATAGTACTGTAAGGATAATTGGGGGAGCTTTTCATTTATCCACATTCATTCATTTGGGGCCACTGTGTTCCCTCTTGCATGGTGGCTGCCATTATGCTGTAGGTACACTGTACTTTTCCTACTCTTACTTGACCCAAACTTGCTCTGCAGAGCTGGTTTCTTTTCCCACCTGTAATAAAACTTTCTTACTGTTTGTGCTTGTCTTGATCATTTCTTTGCTCAGGACAGAAAGAACCTAGAAACCATGTCCAGAAAGAGACTCCAGCATCCCAAAATCCAGTAGCAAGTTCAAGGCCAGACTGAACCCCAGAGGATGTAGCTCAGAGAGAAGCCCCTGGGGTCCAGCCCCAGAAAAACAAACAAACAAACATATATTCAATGGAAAGGACTGGCCTTTAGTCAGTGTTATTTTAGAATGTGTACTGTCAGGCTGTATATGAATTGGGGTGCCTATGTAATGGCAGGCTCAACTATCCCAATTCTTGCCATGAGAGAGTATATCAGCAAGGAAGAAAATAATTTCAAAAACAAATACCAGTTATTGAGCTCTTTTCTATATGTAATACTTCAAAAAATTGATGAAAATGAAAAATATGAAAGAGCTAAGGTCATAACTTAAGAGGTTAAAAAGATCAGAAAAAACTCTTCCTCCCTTCCTAGAATTAAAAGAGCTGGGTGTGGTAGGTAGCACATGCCTGTAGTCCCAGCTGGTGAGGCTGTCGAAACAGGAAGATTGTGCCAACCAGGCCCTCCAAGGCCAGCTTGGGCAACATCACGAGAC